AGTGAATAAACATAATCATAATTATTATTAAAAAGAAAGCTCATTTATTGTAGGAAAGACATTACATGAAAAACAAACGAAGGAAAAACAGTTTTACTAGAACAATAATAGATTTTTTTTAGTTTATGTCTTCCATGTCATTGCAGAAATCAGCAACATTTAGTGGAGTGAATTCAACATTATCAATGAGGTTTGCTTCTTTTCCTTTTCCTTTAATGGACTCTTGATAAAGTTGACAAAGATGTGCAGGTGTGCGACAGGTCCTTGACCAATGGCCTGTGCTACCACATCTATAAAATGAACCATCAGATTTTTCTGATGTCCCAGTGTCATGCCTTGCCACTTTGGCCTTATCTTGTGTGTGGACATTGTTTCTTTGTGAATATTGGTAATTATTTCTTTTCTGGCCACGACCACGATTATTACCTTGTCCACGACCAGAATTATGGTTCTGATTATGGCTTTGGTTTCGATTAAAATAGCCACGGCCTCGCCCTCGTCCACGTGTATTATTTCGATGACAATCAATATTTGTAGCATTTGCTTCAGGAAGTGCTACTGATCCCGTTGGACGAGATTCATGGTTTTTCATTAAGAGTTCATTGTTTTGCTCTGCAACGATCAGACATGCATTCAGTTCAGAATATCTTGTGAGCTTTTGCATCCGATATTGTTGCATCAAAGTAATGTTTGTTGCATGAAATGTTGAGTAAGTTTTCTCCAACATATCTTCATCAGTAACCTCTTGTCCACAATACTTGAGTTGTGAACATATTCTGAACAAAGTTGAGTTGTATTCATTTACTTTTTTGAAGTCTTGAAACCTTAGTGTTCTCCATTCATCTCTAGCATTTGGAAGTATAACTTCCTTTTGATGATCAAATCTTTCTTTCAAAAGATTCCAGAGAATACTTGGATCAGTAACATCAAGATATTCAAATCTCAACATTTCATCAATATGCTTACGAAGGAAAACTTGTGCTTTTGCTTTGTCTTGTGCCAAGCAATTATTAAATTCATATATAGTATTTCAGATACCCATGGATTCAAGATGCATTTTTACATCTATCATCCATGGCACATAGTTTTTCCCACTAACTTCAAGTGCTGCAAACTCGAGCTTTGCAATGTTGGACATAATGTAACTATAAATTTTAAACAAAATAAAAATTAAAATTAAAATCCATTTATTTCAATAAATATTACACAAAAAAGAAGCGGTAAAGCTAACATTGCATACAAGCCTAAAAGTAGATGAAATTTCATATTATCTTCGATGTTAAGGATTGGGATGAAAAGTAACATGACTATTATAGTCATGATTATCACAAAAGGATGAATCATCTTGAAGCTTGATTTCTTGAAATTGATTTATTTGATAGAAGAGAGAAATATTTGTTGTGGGTAAAATAAGCAGGGTAAAGATGTTTATTTATGGTAAAAAAATATAGCCGTTGTTTTTGTTGTTTATAACCGTTGCATATATATTCCCGTTGTGTATATATGTATATGTATTTTATAAATCATATAATAAGACTTATAACTAATACATAACTTTACTAATTAGAAACATAAATAAATATTAGTAAATGTTTAAATAAAATTATGAAGAGTATCTAAATACAAATAAACATTGACATGTATAAATAATATAATTTAAATGTTAGTATGCACAAATAAAAGTTAGTAGCATAATATAAATGTTAGTATGCATAAATAAAAGTTAGTTGCATAATGTAAATGTTAGTTTGCATAAATAAAAATTAGTTGCATAATGTAAATGTTAGTTTGCATAAATAAAAATTAGTTGCATAATGTAAATGTTAGTATAAAAATTAGAATACATAAAGAAATGTTAGTATAAGAAATAAAAATTGTTAGTAGTCCATAATGTCCATAATATATAAGTTTCATTAATTCATTAGTATTATTATTTTAATATGATTGAGGTTTTTATAATTAATAGTGTTTTTACTAAGTAATACATACATTGATTAAGATAGATGTGATTTTCCACTTGTTTAGTAACCTTGATTAGAGCTTTCGTGCTGATAACGTGTTATGAATTAAGCGTAATTAATGTAACTATAAATCAAACCAAACTAGTAAACTTTGATAAGAACTTTAATTGAGAAAAAAGAATATTTAGAGAGAATATGAAAGTTATATCTCTTATAACTTTTGGTGTGTTTCATTCTTTACAATGGAGGGGTATTTATACTACAAATTTTACTAACATATAATTGTAACTAGTTAGAAATGTTGACAAATTTGTCATGCACCAATTATTATGTCATCCACCAATTATTTACAACACCACCAATTATTTACAACATATATATATGTATATATATATATATATAATATATATATATATATATATATATATATATATAAATTAAAAGGGCAAAACCGTCATTTCAAGTCCATCATGGACTAAATTTACGAGAAATTCCTGATTTTTGGACCAAATTCACGGGAAACACTTGATTTTGGACCTTCCATGCAAGTTGGAAACTTTTTGGACTCCATCCACAATTTTTTGCAAACCACAAGGAACAATTTTGCAATTTTGTCTATTGTTAATAGGACTTTTAAGTTAAAAATAGGACGTCGAGGATCAACGTGTCATAGAAGGTATTTAGTAATTTGTGTCTTTTTTTTTCTTCTATTTGAGGGCGTCACGATGGACATTCGAAACATCTAGCTATACCTCACGACTCTAGCATGTGGTATATATGTTTTGTTTTTAAATCGATATTCATTGTTTAAAAGCATCCCGGCCATGCATGTTCCACGTTTGATAGATTTTTAATACACTTCACCTTCTTTATTGTTAATCAATAATCATCACTTCAGTTTTATGAAGTGTATTTTATTTTTATAGGCTTTATTATGTAACACTCTATACATTGAATTAATAATCAAAATTGAACTGTGTACACACACATTAAGAAAAAAAGTGGATACTTGCTATGCACCAAAATAAACAATAATGCAGCTAAATTTTGACCAAAATAAATCAAGGCTCAAATGATTGTATATGTAACGACCATTCACATTTGTTCCAGTGTAATTATGCAACTTAGGTGAAATATACATCTTTTATTCTAGGAGCAAAAAATGTATCATTATAAAAGGGAATGTACTAATTACATATTTGATTGTGAAACAATGCTTCAATAAAAACCATTTTTATCAACTTAAGCGTTTGATACAAAATATATAATTTTAACCATAGGGGCCGTTGAGGGGGGCAAAGTGGGCAGCTGCACAGGGCCCAATTTTTTTATTATATATATTTATTTAAAAATAAAAACTTATCATAACGATAAGGGCCATTTTTTTCTGGCTCGTCATGGGCCTTTAAAGATATTTAATTCATCAGGACCGGCCCTGATTTTAACCGTACAAATAAGTTACGTAAAAAAATTTCGGCAAACAAAAAACTTATTTTACATAAACTTGAAAGAAAATATGAAACATGATTACATAAACAATCATTTGACCTTTTAATTATAAGTAAAAAATTTCTCAAGACAGCTATGTTTTTCGTTTCTGGTATGGATGCAATGCATTCCTTTGAACCATGAAAATCATTTCTTTGAACCATAAAAATCTTGTGTACTTCGTCTGTCTCAGAAATGGCAATCATTGAATAGATAACTAAACTGAAGTATTTGATTGATCATTGAATACCTAAATTGTTTTATAATAAGACAAATACAGAAACTTGTGGAACACAATTGCTTCGTTCAAGGTCATATTTAAAGGCTAAAAATAATAAATAAATGAGTTAACCGGCTTTTGTTCTAGAGTAAATTACACGAATGGTCCCTATGGTTTAAGGTAATTTGCGTATTTGGTACCTAACTTATTTTTTTAACTCGGAAGGTCCCTATTGTTTGTTTTTGTTACGCGCTTGGTCCCTGTCTTACCTAAAAAGACTATTTTGCCATTGATTTATTAATTTATTTAGATAAATACACCGTCAACCCCACCCCCTCACCTTACCTTACCTACCCCACCATTTTTCCCTATTTAAATAATAATCTTTTTAGGTAAGACAGGGACCAAGCGCGTAACAAAAACCAAACAGTAGGGATCAAGCGCGTAACAAAAACAAACAGTAGGGACCTTCCGAGTTAAAAAAATAAGTTAGGGACCAAGCGTGCAAATTATCCCAAACCATAGGGACCATTCGTATAATTTACTCTTTATTCTATTGTAGGTGAACATTTCCATCAATTATCACAATAAAAAGTATTTCGTATTTTTATGGCATAGCTATAACTAAGTAATATTTTAAAGTACAAATATAAATAATATGAATAAATGAAGATGTGATGTTATAATAAACTTAAATAAGATTGGTAGGTTGCTGCCAATGTGCCCAAGGCTACCAAGCTTTGCCTCTTATATTGGAGTTTCGAGTTTTAATCCAGACGTTAACGATTTCGTGATACTAATCCAGACGTTGACGATTTCGTGATACTAACTTCTAACCACTAAATAAATAAATAAATAAGATAGCTAGGTTGCTATATTTTCTTGCATAAACAACTGAAAATAGAAATTAAAGGCATCATCGTAATTTTTCCTACATGAAGTCCAAAACACATATAGGATAATATTTGTTAACAGGTGATCTAACTTTCTCCCCTCATAAAAATGCCTTTACAAAGGTACTTATGATATTAGCTATGCCATTTTCCGTGCTAAGATGCGTGCTTTGTTGCCACATGTTTTGACTAAACTGCAAAAGACAGAAATTAGGTTTTCAATTATCATTGAGCACTAGATTACACACATTCCGTATCAAGGGTACCATAAAGTGAGAGCCTTTTCCCAGATATCCCATCAAATGCATGCATTTTCTTTTCTACAAGTAATCACTCAACCGCTTTCTTCTTCACATATATATCATCATTTCTTCAACACACACAATTGTCTACATCCCTCGGCTCGTCAATACATATTATAAGGCACAAAAGAGAAGAATGGTGCAGGAGCTACTACCGTCGCTGATCATGGTACTTGTACAGTTTGAATTTGCAGGTATGAACATCCTCTCGAAGCTTGCATTGGATTCTGGCATGAATCCTTACATCCATGTTGCCTACCGTCAGATGTTTGCTTCAGTCACCCTCGACCCTTTGGCATATTTCGTCGAAAGGTACCCACATAAATACCATGTATTTACTTGCAAAATTTTACTAAATCCTAGTCTTTATTTTATATAAATGTAGAAGAATAAATTTTTATATGTATATTCTTGACTGGATCCAAAAACCAGCCAAGGTGATACTACAAGAAAAAGAAAGCTAGCAAACAAAAGATTATAACTAAAAATTGTTAAATTTGGAAAAGGTGTCGGATAATGAGTTATAAACAAAAATGTTCTATTTCAAGATGATCCAAAATGTTAAATGAGTATCTTTTTTTGTTATGTATTATGTATATGCAGAGGGAAAAGACCTCGAATGACTTGGTCAATTTTTATCCAAGTTTTCTTCTGTTCGGTTTTTGGGTGAGTTGATCATCACTCCTTATAATTATTCTCACACACACACACACACACACACACACATATATATATATATATATATATATAATATATATATATATATATATATATTCTTATATTCATGTTTCAAAAATGTTCAAACTTTTTATGGGGGGAAATTGCTATCAGGCTGACAGCGAACCAAATCACATACTTTGTTGGTTTAAAGAACTCGATGCCAACTATTGCATGTGCGTTATCAAATCTCCTTCCAGCACTCACTTTTTCCTTGCCGTCATCTTCAAGTAATATATACAAGGCTTGCTATGTATCTTTTCAAAACTGTTGTGTGTGTGTGTATATATATATATATATATATATATATATATATATATATATATATTTCAAAAAGATTGAATATATGGCTTTTTTTAAAAAAATTTATAGGCATGAAAATGCAAAGTTAAAGACATTGGCTGGACAAGCAAAGTTGATGGGGACATTAATCGGGGTGGGGGGTGCCATGCTCTTGTCTATGTACCATGGACCTGTTGTACCAATTGGTGAATCAGGCATTGATGTAAACATTATGAAGAATACGATCACCAAAGATTCGAATGGGGATACTCAAGGGAATCTCATTGGTCCAATTTTAATCATCATTAGTGCTTTCACTTGGGCAGTTTGGTTCATTATCCAAGTAAGCCATATTAAAAAAGCCTTCATTTAACCTCTATTGTATTGATAGCAAAACTAACTCTAATTACCATAAATTCAGGCAAAAATGGGCAACATTTATCCAGCACCCTATTCGAGCTCAGCATTGATGATGGCAATGGCCACATTTGAATGATCAATATTTGGTCTGATCATGGAGCCAAACTTGCATGAATGGTCTCTGGTTCCAGCCATCAGGGCCGTCTCATGTATTTACTCGGTATGACAATACCATATTTTAAGTTATAATAGTAAATCCTAGCTATTGTAGATTAAAATTTAATTAATTATTTAATTACCATTGCATTTGCAGGGAGTTGTATGTTCAGGAATAGGCGTTTGCATGATGTCATGGTGCATCGATAAAAAAGGCCCCCTTTTTGTTTCTGTGTTTAGCCCCTTATTGTTGGTTATCGTTGCAGCACTCAGCTGGGTACTTCTACGTGAGAAGTTATGCATTGGAACGTAAGTGGTACCTAACAATAACATAACTTTCACTGTTGCAATTAGTGTATAAATTAAAAAAGATTAATTCCGTCAATCGTTTTATGATCACAGATTGTTAGGGTCACTCCTGATCGTGATGGGACTGTATTGTGTGTTGTGGGGAAAGACCAAGGAAATAGAGTTGTGGAAAAGGAAGAAGAGTCACAAGACACAAAGGAGGATATGGAAATGCAGTGATCATATATTAAACTTTGAAATAAAAATATATTAAAATGAAAAATGGTTTCAATTTCTGGTTACCGAGTTCTATCATATTCTAACTAAACCAAATCAATTAACGTTGCCAAATTAAGTTCCATCCTTGTAGTTTAATTTAATATTACCAGAACAATCAATTAACGTTGCCAAATTAAGCTTCATTCATCGAATAGTTAAACAACCTCAATAAAATAATGCGTATAACAATAATGAAAATCGTCATATTGTAACTAAACCAAATCAATTCACGTGTGCAATAAACAATATTTCCGGAAAAAGATCAAATTGTGTGTAAAAAAATATGACCATCTCTTATTTACAGAAAAAATCATTTGGTCGACCAGGGGCGGAACACAAGCACTACAGCTTGGAGGTCCGGAATCAAAACTTCATAATTGAACTATATTATAACATATCAAAACTTCATAATTAAATTATATTAACAAGTTTTATTTGGTTCAAAATAATGACATATCAAAAGTCTAAATAAGAAAACTAATATAAACATTGTTACATTGTTAATCAAAGTGGAACGCGACGATCTTTTGCATTTTTAAAGTCTTCTATAATTGTCTCTAAACTACTCTTTTCAGCAAGTTCCCTTTCGAAGTGCAAAACCAATGAGTCATTTAAAAACTCGTCTTCCATTTTATTCTGTAACCTTGTTTTAATGAGGTTCATTGCTGAAAATCATCTCTCTGTTGTAGCAGTAGAAACTGGAAGAGTAAGTATGAGACTAGCTACTCTATAAATAAGATGAAACTTTGCTACTCTTCTAGTCTTTGTCAACCATTGACACAATTCTGACATAGATGTCAATAGTTTATAATCTGCATGTTGAACGACATCAATCTCATAATGTTGAAGTTGTATCTTCAAAACTACTTTCTCTTGTTCATTGAAATCTTCAGGATAAAACTTCTCTACTAACTTAATTATATCACCACTTCGAAAAGGCTCGTCAACACTTTTAGGATCTAAAGTTGTTGAAAGTCGAAGCAACTCCGTTGAGCTATCGTTGAATCGATGATTGAGTTCCATTATTTGACAATTAATTGCTTCGAAAAAATATATCCACTCGGTAATGATGTTCAAGTGTATGATCACTACACTTGTTACGAGCTCGAGCCCCTCTACTAAAGTATGGAGAAGACATATCAGGGATATCAATGTTGCGTTCCTGACAAAATAACATAACAAGAGAGTGCAAACCATCCAATCTTTCATCTTTCATTTTTTGTAATAACAATTTGGTAGATGCAACTAGCCTCAATGCGTTACAAATATCTTGAGATTGTCTTTGTAAAGCTTGACAAAGTAAATCAGTGATCTCCATTATTTCTTTCTCGAGATGAAGAATAAAAATGAACTCAAATGTAGTAATAGCCTCATATGATGAATCTGCATCGCCTTTGATTGAACCGGTGCCATCGTTAATAATTTTAAGTAAAACCTCACAAGTTGGACTAAACATTTTGATTAAGCTCGAAACTGATTTGAGGTAAGAACTCTATCTAGTATCACCAGCTCGTTGTCATGTACCAATTTGATTAAGACCTCTACCCGTCTCTAACTCATCAATAGAAATCTTATATGGAATTTCCTCGGCTTGTGCATCTCTAAGTTGGTAGGCACGCTTGGAGGAAGCACCAATAACATTGACAACAAAAGACAATCGAGTAAAAAACTTTTGTAATGCAACAACTCCTCGTGAAGCGGCTATTAATGCTAATTGCAATCGATGGGCAAAACAATGAACATAATACGCATATGGACAATCATTTGAAATCAATGCTTGCAAACCCTTGAAATTACCTCGCATATTGTTTGCACCATCATACCCTTGCCCACGAATTGACTTAAGATCAAGATTATTATGTGACAATACATAATAAATTGCATTCTTAAGCGTTTGTGTTGTAGTGTTAGGTACATGAACAAGCCCAAAGAAAACGCTCCATAACAAAGCCATCTTTATTTACAAATCTCAAAACAATTGACATTTGTTCTTTATTAGACTGATCACGTGCTTCATCAACAACTAAACAAAATTTTCCACCATCAATCTCCGCACAAATCATGCTCTTCACCCTAGTTGATATAAGGTTTAGAACCTCTTTTTGAATTGACGGTGATATATATGATGCATATTTAGGAGCAGTACGAAACAAATCTTCCATCTCCGTGTTAAAATCGCCAATTGCCTTCAACATTTGACGAAACTTTCCTTTGTTTATGGAATCTAATCCTTCATCGTGGCCTCTATATGCAACTCCTTGAAAGGCACACCAACGTACTACATAAATAGTAGCTTTCAATCTTAATCTATTATTTTTACGCTCTTCTTCTGTAAATGTCTCAAACACATTTCGTATATCTTGTGCCTGGTTTAACAAATCATCACATGATTTTTGTGCAACGTTGTGAAAAGATGTACAATCAGTCCCTATGTGATGCAAAAAAGCACAACTTTTTCCACCAACTTTCTTCCAATTTTGAAATCCATCTATAGTAAATGCTTGTTGGCCGTAATGTCCCATTCCAGAAGGCTTGTTAAATAGAAAACACGTAAACAAAACGCAGCATCTAAGCTCTTTGAATATTCAAGCCAATGATATAACTTAAACCAAGAAGCTTGAAAACTACGTTTATGGGTTTCTGGTCCGGATTTTGGATATACAGAAAGTGTTTGTTGAAAGGGACCAAGATTAATATATGCTCGCCTAATAGTATCTCGTTGATTAACTGGATAGTCATAAATTTGCTTACGCAAACCAGGATCTCGTTCCAGTGTGTTAAGATCTATTTCATTAATTTCAAGATGAGGTTTTTTGAAACGGCTATCAGTATTAGGAACATTGGGTGTGGGGGCATCTTCATCCAAAACGATCTCCGGTGGCTTTTGTGACATCCCCTAATTTCTCGGCCAGAAAAGACCGATTTCGTTTATGCTTTTTAAAATAAAATCAGAGTAATCCTTTTAAAAGGTGTTGCGAATTTGCTCCCATAAAAACATGATAATTATTATCAAATCATTTCTGAAGAAATGTATTTTATTCACTTAAACCATTGGGATGTCATCGTCAATACAGAAACATAAGCATAAACAGAACTTACACACACTTACACTAGTGATCTACATCTCTTTTAATCTCTCAGTGTAAAGTAACTTTGTATCGATACCTGTGATACAAACAAACTGAGTGGGTCAGGCTTGGGAGCCTAGTGAGCATATAGGGTTTTCAACCCACAATAAATAATTTATTATGCTTAAACATCAAACAATCAACCCAATTACCCTATCCCCATTATCTTATTTATTTCTTAAGGATTTACCCTAAGAATCAAATCTCACTCATTCCTAAGGAGCATCCTAAGGAATAGGCACGAAGTCCATCGCTGCCCAAGGTTTATACTACAAGCACTAACAACGTCGATCAAGAATCGACTATCCTTCATCCAATCATTCCTCAGGATTGACCTAAGGAATTTATCCAAAGTCCATTGCTACTAAGGTTGATACAACAGGCACTACGTCACATAGTCGTCAGGGATTTTATACAATAGGCACTACGTCTCATAGTCGCCAAGGTTTATACAATAGGAACTACGTCTCATAGTCGTCAGGGTTTATACAATAGGCACTACGTCTCATAGTCGCCAGGGTTTATACAATAGGCACTACGTCTCATAGTCGCCAGGGTTTATACAATAGGCACTACGTCTCATAGCTGCCAACGTACTAAATACATAGCTACCAACGTACATCTATACTGTACTAAATTCATAGCTACCAACGTACATCTATACTGTACTTTTATCCCTCATACTTTATCTACCCATGTTTTACCCAACATATTTGAAGATAAAATATATATACATTTTAAATCATTTTAAACATGTATAAAACATTCATTCAACATCCATCTCAAATAAACAAACAACATATATACACATATCATGTATTTTATATAAAATACTTCATATCTATGTGTAAGATGAAAGTGACTATACACTCACATGATTTGATGATAATCGGACAACAATTCGTTTCCTAAAACGTTCGTTTCTAATAAAACCGGGAGTTTTATTGAGAAACCGGGCTCTGCGAAAGGTCGGGCTTCAAAACCGAAAAGATAAATTTTCCGGGTCTTCGGGAACTTCGGAACGTATTTCGTGCTTTACAAATGATAGCGGGGCTTCGGGGGAAGTCAAAATGATAAAAAAGATGAAAAATGGGTGAAAAGTGGCAAATTTCGGATTCTACCCGGGAAGTCTCGCAAGACTCTTATTTATAGGGGAGGAGGTCCGAAGGCTCGGATCCGAGGCAATGAGAAGCGAGCACGTGGCTCGCATGCGAGGATGCAGCTCGTGCGAAGGCCACGCGGCAGAAGGGCGAGGCTCGGACTTGGCATGTGGCGCGCTTCGGATGGACACCTGCAAGCTTCGGATTGGTCGGATGACGCGGTACTCCTCGGTTTGGGCCAGCACTTCGGACCAATCAGCAGGTGACACGCGTATTGCGGTCCAATCAGCAGCGAGCACATGTCCGACACGTAGAAGCCTCGCATGCGAGGGTGACGTGTCCAAAGATGACTCTTGCGAAATTTCTCGAAAATTGTGCCAATCTTGTAAAATCCATAACTGTTCTCATAACGGGCTCCGTTTTTGACGTTCTTTATATGCACGCGTAGAGAAAATTATGCTCTACAACCTTCCTTTAGACTTCGTCCGAAAATTTTGACTTTATTTTTATATTATTATTTTTAACAGACCGGGACTGGTAAATCCGTTAAAAATTCATAACTTCTTCATCCGACGTCCGTTTTCGTCAGACTTTTTACCGTTGTGCTACAAATGACGAGACCTTCGATTCTCGTTTAGGTCGTGTCGGCTAAAAATCACTCGATCTAAAATTCGAGTTTTTAGCTGTCTACTGCTAAGCTGAAACTTCGAAAAATCATAACTTCCTCATACGAAGTCAGATTTGGGCGTTCTTTTTATCGAACTTCT